CTATCTTCATTTGGAATAATGATCATGGATTTTAATGGAACAAGTAGTCAATTAGATTGATTTCTGTCTTGAAATATTCTCATTGTGAATTTGGATATCCTTGGAGAGATATCTGTTTTACGTGTAGTGTTTTGAGTTTGTAATTGAGAATAAAAAATCTTTCATTTTATTTGAGAAGTATCTTTTGTGGACTTTTTGGAATGAAGTATGGTGTCATTTAAAGTCTTTCCGGAACTTGTCTTGGCTGTTCTTGGCTAGTTTATGAAGTGCTATTATGAACCTTGTAGCAAATGGAATTTATGGAGATTTATTTATCCGTCTAGCACATTTAATTACTAGGTTATTTTATCTTTCTCTAATGTCTTAGAAATGGTTAATTGAAACTCTTGGCTAGTCTCTTTACTTTGTATATTAAGTTATGCTTTTGTGTTATTCTTTTGATATTAAACATGCCTTCTTGTTGCATTATTAATGAGACCTCATTTTGCTGGAAAAAAGAAAGTCATATTTGTGTTTATTGGAGACAAAGGATCTGTTATTTGACCTAAATGTTATATTTCATTTAACTTGACATGAATGGCATAGAACGTGCGACTAACTTGTTAAATACTATACCTGTTATATCATATCTCCTGAACTGAATGGCATGCTTTTGGGTAAACTTGTGATGACTGAAGTGTTGTAATTAGTCTATCGCATAATAAGTAAAGATAAGGTCAAAGCTTCGTGAGATATAAAACCACAAAGGTTTTATTAACTTGTGCATTGAAGAAATTGAAAAAGCGGAGAAGAAAAGGAGCCAGCTTGACAAAGCCTGCTTGGGTAAGTCTTGGGGACAACTTCACTACAAAGACTCAGAGAGTCTATACAAAAATCCAATTTAAGAAAAAAATTTGATGCCCTGTGAAAGGAGTAGCAATCATGGGATAGGCTGTTTCATGAGACAAGTTTTGGGTGGGATGCCGAAAAGAATATGTTAGTGCCCCTGATGATTGATGGGGAAGAAATTAGTGGCAATCATTTAACTTATTTGAGCTTGCATTTTCTCCCATGTTAACCTTTTTTGTATAATGTATAATATTTTTGGTGTTAAATGTGCAGAAAGTTCCAGGCTATGAGAAATTTAGAGAAAAAGGCTCAATTTCGAGTAATTGACTCAACTCTTTGGGACTGTAGTTTGCAACTGGACCATAGTCATGAGCACCTTCTTCCATGACACTTCCAAGTGAAGAGTACCTAAAGATGATATGGAACAAGGGTGTGGAGATAGTGATGAAGTTTTAGGGGCATCAATGAGCATAAGCGGGGAGTTTAATTCAGTCACATTCGTTGATAATAGTGGAGGAAGTAGAGGCAACACTAGATGAGACAGAAAACCATTCATGGAGGTAGAAGCACAGGTGGGGTTCGACCCATTAGCTTATTACAGGTTAGAAAAAAGAATGAATCTATAAAGAAGAGAAACCCACTTCCACTATGAAAATAGCGGGATGCACTAAGCAGGATATCTCAAGTGAATGAAATTGATGCTCAGCGTGAACATGAAGAAATTTCAGAAGCATGTGCTAGGAGGCTAGAAGAAGAAGACGTGCTATGAGAAGTCAATTGCGGGAGTCATGGAGCACCTTAATGAAGTTGATGAAGTTGTGAGTTGTTGATGATCCTGATTTGTTTGGCTGGTGCACACACTCCTTATGAAGGAGCCAGTTGCAAAAGAAATGTATGTGGCTCTGAAGAATAAGAGGAAGAAACTTCTGATCTTCTTGAAGCACGCAACTAAGGATTGAGACTTCATTGTGTTGCTTATCATAGTATTTGACTACTATTTGTGTTTCTTAGAAGAGACTGGATAATTTGCATATATTTTGGGAATGATGTAACCAGTACTATTGTATTATGTGACTATTAAATTTCTGTAGGAATTAGACAACTTATTTCTTTGTTAAATGTCTAGTAATTTCATATCAAGGGTTTGAATTTTATGTCTTATGTGCACAGATAAGACAAAAAATAGCTGATGAAATTAAAATTGTGAAAGAGTATCGTAAACGACGGAATAAATGAGTTAATCAAGTTGCAACAGTGGTTGGTGGATATGCTTCTCTTCATTGTATAAAGAGCTCGGCATACAAGTATTTATACAAGCAGGGCATGGGTAAGGGACGTTTACCAGGCCATCCCACCCATTGTTATAATTGTTTAAGATGGAAAGGAAAGTGTTCCTCAGTCTTTGAACAGAATGGCAACAACACGGTCTAAGGAAAACTAGAAATGTTGGGATACATAAAATGGTTGCAATGTTTTTAAATACGTTGGCCATGTGCTTAGTAGTAGGATACAGCAAGAAAGATTTTAGCATTCAGGTGAGGCAATTAGTAGACATTTTCATAATGTCTTACTAGCATGCTGTAGACTTGCTATGTCCAATATCAAACCAAAAGATCTAACATTCCAGCATTTTCATACAAAAATACGTGGTGGTCAATACTAGCCCTTTTTCAAACATGCTATTGGAACAATTAATGGAATGCATGTTTCATGCATTGTTAATGCAAGAGAGCAAACAAAATATATTAACAGAAAAGGAACAATGACGCAAAAGATAATGGTGGTTTGCAACTGGGACATGTGCTTCACTTTTGTATTGGAAGGATGGGAAGGTAAAGCGTATGATGCTCGTATATTTGACCACGCCCTCACTAGGGGTGGAAATAAGCCAGGCGACCTGTCAGGAGCCTGTGGCCTGGCCTGGCTTGGTCTGTTTAGATATCAGACTAGGCTCAGGCCTGTAAAAAGGCTTGTTTACTTTATCAGGCCAGGCTCAGGCCTGATAGTAAGCCTGTTAGGCCTGTCAGGCAGCCTGGGCCTGTTATCTTTTTTTTTTTAGGTTAAAATTGTAAATTGATAGGAGGGAATCTGCTATTCTGATTAGTTAATTGAGAAAACTCTATCCACATAAACATGTTATCTAGAGCCCATTGCATGCTTCATTTCATTTCCATTCTCTATAATAAAAATAATTAATGTATGTATAATGACACATATTTAGACAAAGAAAGAAAACATAAGTGCATTAAAAAAAATAAAAGTATCATTCATTTATTTGATCCATGCTTTTCATATTAATCTTATATAGAATATATATATATATATAATTGACCTATTATGTTTTAGACCATATATATGTGTGCTCAATCTAATTCTTATTATAATAGTTACTTAATTAATTTAAATAAATAAATAAATTATAATAACTGTAACATTTTTTTTAAAAACAACCATGTGTAACAAGAGGATCAAATATCATTTTGTTAGTAAATTAGTTTGAATAAATGATAAATTTAAAATATAAAAGGGATTAAGGATGTTTCACATTTTAAACTAGATCTAGTCATCAACTAATTTTTATACCAGAGATGGGATGAAGTGATATTTTTATATTAGAGTGAAATTATGTTTTATAATAATTTTTCATATTAGATTTTTTTTTTGGGCCTAAGGGGACATGTTTTACAAATTGTGTTAATTTGATAATTTCATATTTTTTGTTTGTATTTTAGATTAATTAGGTTGAATTATTGTAATTTTGAATTGATTTATGTGTGTTTAAAATTTGATAAAAAAACAAGCCTCTTAACAGGCCACAGGCCAGGCCAGGCCTGATTACAGGCCAGGCTCAGGCAGATTAAAGGGCCTTTCACAGGCCACAGGCCAGGCTCAGGCCAACAGGCTTCACCATAGGCCAGGCCTGTTAAGGGTGAGGCCTGGCCTGGCCTGTTTCCACCCCTAGCCCTCACAACTCCTTCCATGAACTTTCTCCATCCGCCTTAGGATATAATTTAAATTGTTACAATTTATTTATACTTAACTATTAGAAAACAAAGTTTCTTGACACCAATCATATATTTCATGTAGGTAAATATTATTTGGTGGATATTAGCTATCCGACACCCATGAGATATCTTGGTCCCTACAAACGTGAGCGCTACTATCTCCCTGATTTTCGAAGGTCATCTACACTTGAAAATGACAATGAGGAGTTCAATTATTTGCACTCAAGTCCACGCAGCACTATTGAAAGAACTTTTAGAGTTTGGAAGAATAAGTTTGCAATTTTAAGAAACATGCCGAGCTATGACTTTCCAACACAAGTTCAAATTGTTTGTGCAATGATGGCCATATATAACTTCATTAGATCAACATCCATTTCTGATCCTGGTTTTATTCAATTTGAACAAGAAGGTTCTTATACAAAAGAAAATAATAATGATGATGGAGTTTGATCTTCACATATACCTTCATCAATAGAATCTTCATCTCACATGACTTGGCTTCGTGACTCCATAAGAAATCAAATTATTCACTATATAAAAGAATAATCATGCCCTTTTATTTCTTTTTTTTCAGATAATGTAATGTGTTGTTTAATAAAAAACTACTTGGACAAATATATTTTGTTGCAACGTCTATTATTAAGACAATTAATATGAAATTTTTTGTGTGGTTATTTAATTTTGTGAAAAAAAAATTATGGGATTTCGTGTTTAAAATCTTTAAAAAGTAATAATTTTTTTATTGGCAAAATAAATTATTTTCCTAAAAAACATATTTAATTATTTTATAAATATATATATGCACATTAATTATTTATTATTTACATTATTTATGTCTTATTTATTATGTTGGCAAAATATATATTATTAACAAATTTATTACTTCAAATAAACATATATTATAAAATATATCTTCTATGTAATTATTATTTAAATTTATGTCATTTTTAGTAATTTTTACTCATAAAAAAATACTTCTGACAATAACTATCCAAATATTCTCATTTTACCAGAATCATTTTTTCAAGAAATCTATTCTTTCAAAATCTATTATCAAAAATTACTTTTCTCCCAAAAGCTATTCTCCAAACTATAGTTTGGTTTTATCCAAACACCCTAAATTGATACAAAGAACAAATGCTTCTACAATGATCCTGCCAAGAATAATTAGAACAAAAAATAAATCTATCATTAAATTATTATCACCCCCAAACCAATCCTGTTTACATTACGTAATCAAACTGAAGAAGAAAATAAAAAAGATGTTGAATATGACTATGAATACAGCTTTATGAACAAAATAATCATCCATTATTACCCTATCTTGCTCTTCAAGAATATGATCACACAAGCAACCATCAAGCCCTGTACATCCCCATCTTCTTCTTTTATATCTTCTTCATTCACAATCCTACCAAGCTCTTGTTATATACCAGTGGCATTCTTCTTCACTTCCCAGCACTACCTGCCACCATTATTGGCAACTTTCTTCTTAGTGACTGAAGCAGCATCCTTATTGGAAGCCAAAAGATCCACCTTAAGAGGGCCAGAATGGTTCCTCAAACGAGCAGGGGAATCTGTGAAGGAAAGTCTCTTCTTCGTATTGGATCCTTTCTCTGGTGTCCCATTTTTACCTGATGGACTCTCAATTCTGGACTTGACCTTAGCTGACTTAGTAGGAACCGTGCAAGTAGAGAGGGCAGATGAACTTGCAAAGCTTTCGTCGTCTCTGAACGATGGACCTGAAATAGTATGTCTTCGGTACCGTTGTGACTGAGCACTAACTGCACTCCTCAAGTCATCATCACGGCCCCAAGAACCGGTCTTTGGGCTTGGCGCCCTTACTTTGCTGCTGGAAGTAGATGAGACAGAGGGGGCCTTCTGAAGTGGGATTGAAGACGACCTATGACTCGGGGGCCGGCTTGATTTTTGTTGGCCAGCCGGAGAAGGCTTGTTGTTACTGTGATGGATTTGACCGCGAGAAGTGTACAGTTTAGTGACTTCTCCAACAGACAAGGGTTGGCTTGCCATGCTCTTTGCAGATGCACGCCCACTGTGAACCATACCTCTTTGGATATCCCCTGGCTGTGTTACAACCCATCGATCTAGCCAGCTCCAACCCCAGTGTGGGTTGATTGGATCCGTGAATGTGGTCGGATTTGCAGGTTTTGAAGAGTTCCTCCACTTTTGCTGTTAAGCAAATATTTAGATTGAAATCGTTAATAGAGTTAAAAAAGTAATCTTGAACCTATCAACATGGGGGGAAAAAACACACACACACACACACAGACCAATAGTATTACTTGAAGGTGTATACAGGCATTTTCATAAGTTTTGAGGTTTCCGATTAAGAAACAGAATCACGGTCACAGGTAATGTCTTTGATAAATGTGTGCAAGAAATTTGTGTTTGATTAATGAAATCAGGAACACTACAGGACCTTCAAACCATCCAGGTCATGATGGTAAAAAAAAAAAAAAAATTTTGATCAGACACCAACAATTATATTTGTATAGTCCAATGACTATTTCCTACATATTAACAAGCATCAAAGTAAAACCCAGCCATCACAAGTAATTTCATGAGATAATGATGCAAATTAATATTATACTTCCAGTGAAACTCAAGTTGCTTAGAACACTGTTGTACTATATCAATTTCTTTATTTGCGTATTTGTAAAATCATTCTGAAAAAGGTCATTCTCTCATTTGAATTTTTGTTCTGAAACTCAAAACCTAACCATTTTGTTTGATTATGTATTTTAGTTCCTCTGTTTCACTATAATCCCAAATGCAATAACAAAAGAAGGGGACACCCGGGTACCTGACGTGAAAATGCGTAGGCCAGAGCTCTCTCCCTTCGAACCGCAGCTTCTTGCCTTTTGGACTGTCTTGCTTCAATTTGCTCCTTTGATTGCGCTGTATCATCCCATTCTTCACCAGTCTGCTGGAAAATTATTTTTCCACTTTAATTTTTTATTTTTTTGGCCAATTGAAACTTTAATTCAAACAACACGAAAGCAGTCACTCCATGCTTCTGAGTGAAGATGAAATTTTATGCATTCTAACCACAAAGAAATTAAGGCCAGAGATATGCACCATATTCACCAAACAAATGTATAATTGAAAGATACAAGCACTCAAGCAGAATTTAAAGAACTTTGACCTTTATTTTCCAGTAAAAAAAAAACTTGGGTGCCTTCACATTTTTAATATTTTTCAAATGGAAGATGATTTTAAGGAAATCCAACTGAGAACACAAACAACGATTTGTCCAAAATTAAATAGGTAAATATTATCCTGAGCACAAATGCAAAATCATTCACGCGTAATGAAACAGAGGTACATGAAGACAAGACACATTCTGAGGCATATCAGAATGAAAAATCACCATATAGCATACGTTGCATCATAACTTGCAGTTCAAAAAGGAAAATAAAGACTGCTTACAGCAGCTTGCAACTTCTCAAGTTCTTTTTCGTGTTTCTGCTGCAGCTGCCACTGAAGAGCTTGGTTCTCCTCTGACGTTCTAGCCCTCCTCTCATGGACCTGAGACTGCAATCGTGTGAGGGTCTGCATGCATCGTAAGGTAGAAGCTGCTTGTCGTTTAACAGATTTCCCCTGTATCAATCTCTTCAGCCTCACCAAACCTTTCAAGCCCCGCAATGCTCTTCTTGCCTGAAAGCCCCAAAACGAGAACCATTATTTATTATAAGTACAATAACTCAAAGTCATTGGATTATAGCAACAATTCATTAATTAATTCCCTTCATCATATAAGGAAGAATGCCTTTTGAATTGCTTACAGCATGTACATGGTCCTAATAAATTAATAAAAATTAATACAGGAAATTAAAAAGCTTTCCAACATTGATGCAGCATGCTTCAGGCAAAAAGTCATACAAACATTTTTCATTATCCTATAAATTTTCCCTTTGAGAAAGGGTATCCATGATAAATCTGCAGACAGAGTTCAACATATACACAATGACAAGAAAAGCACATCTTTGCTGGTATAAAATAAACTTAAATAGCATTACAAGTTCATACCAGATATCCTCGAAATGCCGTCTGAATCTTGATAGCTGCCATGTCTTCCTTCGACTTTAGATGGTAGCGGGACACACTAGTAAGACGGACAACCTCTGCTGCAGCCTGAGCAGCAGCAACAGCAGCCTCTGCTGCTGCAGCAGTGGCAAGAGCCAGAGAATAAGCATAATTGCTATGCTCATTCTCTGCTCCAGTTGATTTAATATCTTCTTTGGATGGAATAGCAGGAGGAACAACAGATTGTGCTTCTTCATTTGGCAAAGCTGCTTCCTTGTGTTTGTCATATCCTACTTCATCTGACTTCTGCTTTTTGTCCTTTTAATTTTAACACCAAAAAAGGTGGGGAAATAATTGAATTAGAATCTGTCTTGGCAACTAATTTCACTAGCAATGACGTAAAATTTATGTTTTTCTGTTGCCAGAGCATATATAGATATATTATATGTATTTTGAAACCTGATCGTTCTTGGACTGAGGACCGAGAACTTTCCTCACTGAAGAAAACCAACTCCCTTTCCTCCCCATGTCCCAGTCACTTACCTTGAAGGAATGGGAAAACGAATTAGATTTGGAAGCCGAACCACATAATGAAATGCATTTAACTTGAATCCTCATACTTCCATAAGTGCACAAAAAACAGAACCTTCAGATGGTAACTTCAGATTATGGAAACAAGTATAGGACCAATAAATAAAAATCATACAAAAGAACTAGAAACAGAATCCTGCCACCCAGCAGAGAAAGGCAAGGACTTTCCACCAATTTGTCAGTGAATAAACAAAGAACCAACAGTGGGAAAAAAAAATCCTTAAAAAGTTAATCTATGTAAGAACGCCCAATTTCGACAGACATTAACTGTCCTGTGAACCCGAAACAGAAACTAATCAGAATCCGCCAGCCCATGAAAGAAAAGGTCAAAAACAAGATTTCCCGCCAATTTACTAACGTAATGAACAAACGGCAAAGAACCCTGGGGAAAAAATCTCATGTTAATTTATCGATGTAATGAACGCCAAATTCCACCATAAATGAACTGTCCTCTGAATAAGAATGACCAAAACTGAAACTCACAAGAACCCGCAATCCCACGAAAGAAAAGAAGTCAGACGGGGCTTCCCCGCCTTCCCGCCAATTTATCAATTTAATGAACAAGCGGTATAGAAAACCTTGAAAATATAAAAGTCCCACGAGCTCATTTACCAGTGCAATGAACGGCCTCTTTCAACAACAGAAACTGCAAAGAAACCGCAAAGAAACCTCCTTCCATAATAATAAGATGAAGAAAAAAGGAGGACTTCCCGCCAATTTACCAAAGTAATGAACAAATGTCAAACAGCCAAAGGATGATAATGACCAAAAGAACCAAAAACAAATCAGGAAAGTACGTTTACAGGAGAAAGTTACAAGATAACAAACAAATGCATCACAAAGAGGCTGACATGAGGAGGGAAATTTCCCAATACCTTCGAAGAAAAAACCAAAACCTGTGGAAATATAGGTCTTTCTTTCTCTCGCCGGAATAAGAACGAAAGGAAAATCCGAAGAAAAAGACCGGGCGAGCCCGGCGAAGAGAAAGGAAGGAGGAGGAGGAAGAAGAGGAAAAGGAAGGAGCAGATTCTATGGAATGAGACTTCAATCCAATGGGAGAATTTTTAATTTAATTCATTTATATTTTACGTCTTCAAGCACAAGGAGAGTGGGCCCAACAGAATGTGGTTCCTATTTTTAACTTTTAACAATTATAATAGCGACAGCGAATGATCCAAACAACCTCAATTGTCTTTCTCTGGGATTTGGGTTTTACTTTTACATTTTCCGACAGGATTAACAAACAAGCAAGCAGCATTACTTTGTCTTTTTTTCTCATTTTGTTATTAAATTATTGTTATTAAACTGGTAATCTTGTTGTTGGCACCAGAGAACAGGTAATTTTTTGTCTGATTGTTTTACTTACGAGTTTAACCAATGTCTAAGAGTAGAGATTAGTTTCCAAACAAGATGAAATGTTAGTTAATTTTTTACTTGCATAGTAAAACAATTCGAATAGTTATTAACTAATTTTTCTACTTTAAAAAAGCTGCATTATTTAATACTACCCACGGTGCTTAATATAAAACCAGTTGACTAATTTGAAAAGACTAAAAAAATTAATTAAATTAGTTATTTATTATAAATATGTATTGTCTTTCCTAAAATATCATTGTTAATCATACATATTAGCTATAATTATCATTTGATAAAATCCTTAACATGTGCAACTACTATAAGAACTATTTTGAAAAAAATAAATAAATATAAAATACAAAGTAAATTGGGGTAAACAAGCTCTTATAATAAGAATCATAGTGGTGATTGTTTAAGTGTGTTTGTTTTAGATTAAAACTTTAATTCATTAGAAATTGGAATACCTTTAGAACATTTGGCGATATACAATTGATGTTGATCCTCTTGTCTCGTTTATCAGTTTATCACATTGGACATGCACACATTAACCGCCTATAATTTTTTAAAAATAGACTAAGTTATTATAGTTAATACTGTTGGACCATATTTAGGTAATATCAAACCTTAAATGATGATAACTCTTTTTTAAAACATACTACCTTCGGTCCTAATTATAAGAACTAATTGACTAATTTGAGGAGATTAAAGAAATAAGTTAAGTTAATTATTTATAATAAATAAGTGTTGTCTTTATTAAAATATCCTTACTAATCAAGTTTATTAGCTAGAACTATTATTATTAAAAGGACTACCTTAGAAAAAAATATATCAATATGAGAGACAAAGTGGATTGGAGTCTTATAATTAGGATCAAAATTAAAGTCAAACAAGGTCTTATATTAAAAACCAGAAGTAGTATTTTAATGGTTACGTGACACATAATCAACCTCCAAATCTCATACTTAAGAAGTCATATTCATATTATGTTATATAAATATATACAAGACCTTTTTTTACTAAAAACATTTAAGACTAATAATTATAGAAATAATAAAACAGACTAACAGTACGGATACAAGTTTACATGGTGTGTAGGCGGGCTGACATTTTCCCAACTCCCATGCTGGCAGGACTCGCAAGCCTAGCCAATATTATCGGCTATAAGTGATTACATCAAGGTGAAAATAATTTGATTCTTCTTGAATGAGATTGAATAATTGAATTTGTGGATGAAAAAATTATTTTGAAAGAATTAATTTTATGCACAATGTGTAGTTGCAGATAGATATGTATGTATGTATATGTTGGAACCAAAATAAGTGTCAAATAACCTCAAATCCATCCCTATCAACACTGATGTCTCAAATTAACTCTTCCTTTCGATGCCTCCAATGAGCCGTCCAATGCAACTCTAATGGGGATCGTTAACATCAAAATCACGAGAATAAAATATTTATTTTTATGTAAATTGAGACAAAACTCTTTTTATATACTACTCTCTTTAGTTTATAATATAAAATGTTGATTAGAAAAAAAATTGTAATCTAAAATATAAAATGTTGTCAGGATAATTAATGTGATATTTCTATTTTTGTCCCCACTGAATATAGGAGAGAGAGGAGGGAGATGAGAGATAATAAAAATATAACATTAAAGGTAACTTTATCATTTTTAAAGGTAAAATAGGAAAACTATTATTTTATGACAAATTTAATGACTTAACTTTCATTTTGATTTCTTAGTATGTGAGAAAATTAAAGTTAATTAACTTTTTATGTTATAAATTGGAGGGAATATCTTGTATTTCATAAATTATGGATAAAAAACTATTTATAAATCATTCTAAATAACGCCGAAGTGATTGATTCAATAATGGTTTTCATTACCGTTTGTTGGTTTAAAGAAGTTATGGTTTCATGGATGTTACGTGGCTAATAATAGAATAATTATGGAAGTTGTACTGTATTGAGTTAACTGACAGTAATTGAAGCTGTAAAATTATAAAATTATGATAATTGAGTGATTATTTTTTAAAAAATAATATATTGAGTGTTTGAACTTTGGAAATCACCTGAAAATGAGACTATAGTTATTTTTTCCAATCTTTTTACCAACGATTTTTTTAAAATACGCGTACTATTTTATTCACTTACAAAGTCAATACTGATACAATTCTGTCAAGCGCTACCAATGTACAAGACTGAAGTCAATATTTAAATATTTAAAATTATTAATATCGTGAAACAAAGTCTTATATTTTATTCTGAAAAACAAATCTTCAGAATAGTTTCCAAAAGCATAATTGAACTCTGGCTGGCATTGTTTTAAGAAAAAATGATGGAAACATACCTATTGAATTTTAAAAAGATAAATAAGTCAAGTTGACTACTTTTGTAATAGTTTTAACTATTTTTATAATAATTTTGATAAGTCAAAATCTATCAAAAATCATTTATTTATCATTTTGAAATTCATGAGGTATTTTTTTAATCATTCTTTCTTATTTTAATTCAATTTATATTATTATTTTAATAAAATATTAGTAGTCCGGAGAACATGATCACGCCAGCCCTAATCCAACACATTTTTGTTTTTGATATATAGCCCTAATCCAATAGTTGTTTTCTGAATCCCCCTCTAATCCTGGGGTCCATCAGTGTATGCTTCCATTTATTGGGCCCAGGCCCGAGCCCAATTCGGAGGATCCCACGGAGCCAAAATCCTGATAAGTCCCCGACCATTCGATTTCAAATTTACCATTTTGACCTTCACATTAGGTCCCTTCACTGACGACTTCCGTTCATAAGGAAAAATGCAGCCACTCCCGCTTTCTCTTGCTAACCGGCGCTGCCGTTACCTCGCTGCCTCACCGTTCTCGGTTTCTCTCTGAGGCTACCATCGTACTATTCCTGCTCCTCTTCATTGGCCACCACCGCACTGCCGTCGCCAACGAGGCAACGACTTTCCTGACGGCTGCTACTGCTTCTAGTCCTTCAGCTCCGTGTTTCATCCGGTAGACTTCCACTTCGGCTTTATCTTTCCTCTCTCACATTCCCTGTAATATATACTAATCGAAGGCTCTTTTTTTTTTTGGCATTTAACTTGCCTTAACGCAATAAAATCATGAGTATTCTTTAAGAAATAACACAGCACATAAATACCGTACATATTGTTTGAATGCTAATAATGTTTGTTGGATTCCTGCTCATTAGCCAGTGATTATAACGACACCTGAGAAAATCACTTTGGATTCTAGCTCAATGGGAAAAATTTTCATGATATAATAGCAATATTTTAGATATATTTGTCATCCAATAATTGAGAATTGCTTACTCTGTAGTTTAAATTAGCACTTCTTAGAACCGATGATTTCAAGGTTCATGGCTTCACTTTCATGTTTGACATCAATTCCAATTTCAAGTTAAGACTAAGGGAAACTTGGCTCGATTTCCATTTTGGTTTCCCTTATCTAGCACTGCATTGATTTCTCGCATTTCTCTATTGATGTTGTCCATGCCTATTGATGTACAGTAGATAAATGATTTATCTATTAATTGCTTTTTTCCAACATCTTTTAACAAGCTTCTCGTGGTAACTAGTTTGGAATAAGCTGGACCATTGTTAAACTGAAATAAGAATCAATAATTCTATCTATTTCTTGCTACTGATTAGAACCAGCAAGTTTCGCAGTGGACTGCTCAAATTCCTTGTTGCCAGGTTGCCTCACATTTATAATCTTTTTCATGGCTTTTATAGCATTCTTATCGCAAACTCTTGTTTGTTTCTCTATGTGTCTATGCACATTGGTATTTACTCGAATTGCTTTTTATATTCGTGTATAGAGTCACCATTGATATTGTTGCAAAATGGGAAAGCTAGGGAAGAAGGCAAGGAAGTTCGCTAAAAAGAACTTACAATCTGTCCAAAGATTAAAGAGGAAGACAAATTCTATGTTCAAAAGGAAAGCGTCTAAAAGTAAGGATTGATTAACTTGAGGTGATGCACAGTTTTTGGGTTATATGATCCTTTTTTTTTTTTAATATATATTATAGTTTGACTTCTTACTGAACCTTTTTTTTCGGTCTCAGTTGTTCTCATGTCTCTCTTGTTAATTTCTTCTTTCATCACTAAACAAAAGTTATGATTCTATGTTATGACAATATCGGAATTCGGAAATCTTTAATTTGTATTTTTCCTCAATGAATATCCTTCTTTACTGATTGAACTCCTTAATCTATTTTGAGTGCAAATTATTTGTACGGATTATTTGCTCATCTTAGCTCTGGGTTGTATAGCCTCTTGGGACATTTTAAGACTTTTGGTTCAAGGAGGGATTTTAAGATCACGTAGCTGTGTCTCTATGGTTGTCTGCTCCTGGTTTATTCGATGAAAGGGGGAGGAGCTCTCTTGTGCAGTGCTCTTTTAAGCTAATCATCTATTTCTCCTTCTGTGACCCCGGGGGGGGGGGGGGGGGTTTCATTGTTTTGTTTATGTTGTTTTGGGAGGATTTGCTCTCCCTTTCTCAGTAGTAGCTATTCCTTCTATTAAAAGAAGGCTTCATGTAGCAATTTCAAAGTATTTTATTATAGTTTCAGGCATTTTCATGATGCAAAATTTTAGGTATGCTGAGGAAAAAATATATATAATTCATTTCTTTGTTTTCCTCTGATGAATGTATTAATACTCCAATTGTTTACTAAGTTTTTGTCAAATTTGATTGAAACAGGAAATAATCAAGATATTGAGGAAGATCAGGAAAGGGGTTTGATAGAACAGTCAAATGGAAGGTAAAAAGGTTTCCTAACTGCATCAGTCTTATCACATATCTATGCTTACATGTGTTTCTATGCAGATGCGTATATGTATCTGTCTATTTTTCCTTTCCTCTCTGTTTTGCCTCCCCCTTTTTCCCCCATATATATATATATATATGTATATTTTTTTTTAGCATAGTTAGCTTTTTCTTCGTAAATAATGTTCCAAGACTCTGGAAAAATTCTATAAATATTAATATTTGGAAGAAAAGCAGACATCAGTGTTGCCTTCCTTGCATCTTCTCCTTTTCCCAAGGAGTATTCACTGTTATAGGTCTCTAACTTTCAGCTGTGTTCATGGAGTTTAGGGATGTATAGTTTTTTTCAGACTGTGAGCGTATAATTATTGTTGAATTAGCAGTGTATGCATCGTTAATTGCCTAAACATTCATATTAAATCTGGAAAGGTAGAAGCAAGGAATGGTCAAGCAAATAGGGTTCTCTTAATTGGCAAGGAAGATGTTAAGAATTTTTGGGTATTGCTGTCTGAATTATTACTAAACTATTAGCTGATGGTTCACCAGTTGATTTGGACTAATTACTGGAGATTCATTTGTTCTCAGAAGCACTGGAGGTGAAGAATATGTAGATGCTCCCCTTGATGCCATATTCAGTGAAGATGATAGTGGGATGATAGGAGATGATTCAGATAGTGATGGATTTCTTCCAGAGGTTTGGATTGTAATTATTCACCAAAACTCTTTTTGGTATCAGCTTGTTAAAATTGATGCACTCTGGGCGAATTTGTGACCAGGACTCAAGCTTTGCATTCGATACTGGAAATGAAAGTGAAAATGAAAATTTTACTGAGAGTAAGGAAATTCTTTGCTCCTGATTTGAACATAAGTATGATTTCCCAGCGCTTGCTTTTTATCTCATCAGATCTTGATTGAAGTTATTTTCAGGCAGCGCTGGTCGTAGTGCCTTATTTGTGCAGAACAGAGATATCAATGCAGAACTTTTGAAGAAGACGAAAATGCTGAACAAAGTGAAAGAAAAGGTAATTCATCCTATATCAAAACCATGCAGGTGCTTCTTAATGTGTTCTTTATTGAATAGCAACTGTGCACATGTGTCAGCTGATAAAAAGAGGGTAAACTCCTACTGTAACTAAAGGATATAACTTTGAAATTAAGATAACTTTATTCTAATCAAAATAAAACGCCTAAGCTAATCATAAATGCATAGAAGCTGTTTTCAGGAATAACTAAATACGAATAATCCTTAACTAAAAGGAATCAAATAGAAGTTCTATTTAATTGAAACAGATGCTTGAAAGCATGTCCAACACTCTCCCTCAGGCTGGGCATTACCCACTTGGAGCTATTCTTCTAGCGTTGCCAATTGTTCACTCTGAAAGCATGTCCTATTTGAGTGAGAGTTTTTCTTTTTTTCTTTTTCTTTTTCTTTTTTGGTTTTGTTCATTTTGTTGTATTCTCTGTTGAAGTAAGTTGTGTATAAAATGAGCCTCCATAGAAAGTCATTCAGTTTTCAGATGGGTGATTCTTTTCCTGCTTCCCTCTTGCGACACTTCTGAGAAAGTCTCTTTGATTTTCTTTTAAATTTTGTTTAATGCTGTATCTGAACACGTGCGGCATCTTGTTCTTTTCTTATAACTTCAAAAAATCGGCAAATTGCTATCTTAAAATTCTAGTTCTCGAGCAGTGATCAAGTTCTTTGTCATAGTCTGAAGAAAGATATCTTTAGTTTCTTTTCTTTTTCTTTTTCTCATTTTTTTGACCTGTATAAGTAACTATTTTTTTTTTTTTTTCATATTGATAAAAGGAAAAGGAAAACATGAGTGATTAGCTTTACTTCCCTTTGTGCATAAGTTTTCCTTGAGAAGGATAAGCTTCAAGATAAGAAAGTCTAAATGTTCTAACATTATGTTCGTTTTCTCCTTGTTAGATTCTGATAAAGGGAGAATTCGATTTTGTGTTTCCAGTTAATATTTCTCATTCATCTTTCTGATTTAGCATTCTGCCTAAATTTTTCAGGATGCAAGATTTTCAAAATTTCTCGAAAGCTATTTTGAGAAAATGGAGCAGAGCAAAGATGAACAGACTGTGAGTTGTTGAATTCCATGTTTGTTTCTTTTGAATCTGGAGGGTTGCTGAGAAAATTGTCTAGGAATTTTTTGTGCTCCCTGGTGTCTTCTAGTTTCATTATCAGTATAGTAGTTGATTTTCTCCTAATTGAAAATTAATTTCTTTCCTTGTGTTGTTGCTATATGTGGTAAATGATATGATTATTAATGTCGCCAAAATTCTACCTTCTCTCAAAAAATAAAAATGAATGTTGTCTGTTTTTAGGGGGAAGGTATTATAATACTACTCCATTGTTAATTTATAGTCCTTGGAAGTGAGGATCGTTTTGAAGAAAGCAGCGTGGATAGAGCTTGCCTTTTAAGCCAGCTTGTTTTTTTCTCTGTCATATCCCGTTAACCTCTGTTCCGCATCTTGGTAGGCTGTACTGAGTACTGGGTTTTAACTGAAATCAGCCCTGGAATCTTTTTCTTTTAAGGAATGATTCAGTGTCTCTCATGTTGTGTGAATATACCATGGCTCTAACATTTCCTATAATATAAGTGAAATTGGGTCAATTGCTTATGCATAAACATGAATTTTCATAAATAAGATATTTATTCATGTGGCTTCTAGGTGGCTAGCAAAATACTTGGTAGCTTGAACTCTCAGCCTGAATTGCCCTTGTGTTTACTAAGACTTGACTCTTTTTTTAATCATTTGGCCAGAATTCTGATGAGGATGAGAGCAGTCATGATGAGATGCTTCCAATGAATGAAGACTTCATGCACTCATGTGTGGCCAAGCAATTGACAAGTGCTTCTGTTGACTCTTGGTGTAAATTGGTCAAAGAGCGGCAAAGTATGCCTGCCCTTACTTGTCTCTTAAATGCTTATCGAGCAGCCTGTCACTATGGATCTGAAAATTCTAGTGTCTCTGGCTCTGTTTTATCCCATGGAATTCAGAAGAGTGAAATTTTCTGCAAGATATTGATGTTTATACTACGTGAGGCTGATAACACATTTAGGAAGTTATTGGGAATACCAAGTTCTAGTTTCAGAAAGGAAACTGTGTCGGAGATGAAGAATACAACTAAATGGAAATCTATAAAGCCGCTTATTAAGTCTTATTTGAGGAGCACCCTACTCCTCCTTAACCAGTTTACCGACTCTGAAATATTGTCCTTCTCAATTTCTCAACTCAGAGCTTCAATCATATTTCTGGCTGCATATCCATCCTTACTTCGCAGGCTTGTCAAGGTATTTTACTTAAAACATCTTGATACTGAAAATCCATCAAGTTTTGCTGATCATGATAGTTTAACAGATAAATTCCTGATGTTCAATTTGAAAGATTAATGCTAGTGATTAACACTTTCTAGCATAATTTTCTATGATTGTGCGTTGTAGTCAAGACATGAGAATTATGATTTATATGGAAATTACGTTGTTACTTCTTAGCTTGTATGTGTTAGGTTCTGCAAAAGAGAGAATAAGAATTGGGAGATAGAAGGGAAGAGAGGGGAAAGAAGAGATGAGAAAGTAGAAGAGAGATGTGTGTTAGAGAGAGAGAGAGAGAGCCTAGAATCAGTATCTGAAATCCTAGGAGAGAAGAAGATGGAAATTCCTAAATAATATACTTCATTCACACCCTAATGTCATCGTACAATAGATTTAAATAGGCTGAAAACATAAATGAGAATAACTGACTAGTAACTCCCTAATAAACTCCTACATTCTAGGATAAGGATTATCAATAACTGACAATAACTAACATTTAAATAATCCCACTGTAATAGTCTGAAAGGATAACTGAATATAACCACCTAAAATTGAAGATTAAAAATAACTGAAAATAACTAACTTGTAAACTGCCCCTAATATTGGACTCTATCATTACTCCCCTTAGGAAATATGCCTTGTACTCAAGGCGAAATGTGGGAAATTGGGTAGCTTTTAATGATGAGTTCGAATCTGGGGCTCCCAAATGAGGGTCTTCCACTTGCTTGGTAATCTTCATGAGTTTGAGAGAAGCGAGTTGGCACTTATGCCCAGGGACAAATTTATCTCCACACTTAAAACACAGCCCTTTGTCTCTACAAAACTTCCTATCATGGTCTGAAATTGTCGGGTTGTGGGTCAATCTTTGGGAAGTTCCAGTGGCAGTTGGCAATAGTTGCTTTTGGGTGTTGAAACTTGACATAACTGGTGTGTTCACAAGAGCAGAGCTTGAACACAGCCTGGGAATGTTGGCATCTTTATCTTCCTTGAAATTGACACTGCTCTCGCTGCCACATGTAACTCCAGATTGCTGTCCATAACGATTCACATTCTGATTTTGTAACTTGGCTTCAAATTCAAGAGCCAAGCTTGCAGCCTTGTAAACAGTTCGAGGTTTCTGAATTTTAACATCTGACTGCAGTTCTTCCTTTAAACCATTGGTGAAAACACCTAATAAGCAGTGCTCAGGCCACCCATGCACTCTTGAAGACCTTCTAACAAATTCCTGCCTATATTCTTGCATGGAACCCAATTGTTTGATGCTGCAAAGGTACACATCAGGATTCTAAAATTCAGCAGGGCCAAAGTGCTCTTGAAGAATCAAGTTATCCCAATAATTGATAGATCTTCCAGAAGAAACCCATGTAAAAACATCTAGTGCATCACCCTCTAAGTTCATGGCTGCCATATCAACTTTAAGGTCTTCAGGTGCTTGATAATACCTGAAGTATTTTTCTGCCTTCATAACCCAGCCTCTAGGATCAGCTCCTTCAAACTTAGGAAATTCTACTTTAGAGTGTGGGTGTTTAGAAGGAGTCTTTTTCCACCAAAGGTTGTCATGATCTTCATCATCAACTTCTTCATGAATCTGTTTCCCACTATGGCTGTGGCTTCCTTTAGGCCCTTGAAATGACTTCTGTTGCTTCAAAGTAGTCATTTCTGTATCTAAATTATTCAATTTGGCGATAATGGCTGACAGTTGTTGGGAAAGCAGTTCTGTAGAGGGAAGGTTAGAAGAGTTGGTTGGGGTAGGTACACTGTGAGAGGGGTTAGGATTTGGCAGGAGAGGCACATTGTTCACCATAATGTTCCAACAGGTCCAGAAAGTTTGGGCTCCGATACCAAAATGTTAGGTTCTGCAAAAGAGAGAATAAGAATTGGGAGATAGAAGGGAAGAGAGGGGAAAGAAGAGATGAGAAGGTAGAAGAGAGATGTGTGTTGTAGAGAGAGAGAGAGAGCCTAGAATCAGTATCTGAAATCCTAGGAGAGAAGAAGATGGAAATTCCTAAATAATATACTTCATTCACACCCTAATGTCATCGTACAATAGATTTAAATAGGCTGAAAACATAAATGAGAATAACTGACTAGTAACTTCCTAATAACCTCCTACATTCTAGGATAAGGATTATCAATAACTGACAATAACTAACATTTAAATAATCCCACTGTAATAGTCTGAAAGGATAACTGAATATAACCACCTAAAATTGAAGATTAAAAATAACTGAAAATGACTGACTTGTAAACTGCCCCTAATATTGGACTCTATCAGTATGCCTGTGCAGCCTTCCTGGAATACTTTCAGCATATTTTGAGCATTGCTTGGTATGTGATGAATTTTGAAAACCATAGTTTTTCTAAGATGAATCAAATCCTTGTCTATTAGTCTTTTCTTGCTGTGTCCTGGGTTTGCTTTCATCAGATGTGGAATATTTTCCTTTGGAAGAAAGTGCCACCAATAAGTCTAATAAGTTTATGAGGATAGGATCGTGTGTAAAACCTTTGTATAAATGCCATGTGCAGAAGTGCTTTTTCTTTAAGCTGAACTCTGCTGTGGTGCTGCCAAGCTGTTGTTAAGATAAAGATTACTCAGTCATAGTTTACAGTTTTTTAGTAGGCGTAATTTCCATTCTAATCTTTTGAAAAGTTGGGAGTTGTAACTGGTTTATCGATTTGCAGTTACATCAATTGTACTTCTAAGATCTGCTCACCATTTATTCAAATTTATTGCAGATTGCTGTCCATCTGTGGGCAACAGGTGATGAGTCTCTGTCATCACACTCCTTTCTGATCATAAGAGACATAGCTTCAGTTTTCAGCTCTAATTATTTTGACTACTGCTTTGTTAAAACATACAAGGCTTACATTGGTCACTCTCAATCTGCTGAACCAAGGTTGTTAAAACGCGTACAGTTTTTGAGGAACTCCTTTGTGGAGCTATGTTCCTTAGATGTGCAGAAATCATCTAGTAAAGCAATGATATGCGTACAACATGTTGCTAAGATATTGCAGAAGGCACGGCAAACAAAAAGGGAGGTAAGCCTTCAAAATAAGCCTCTTTATTGTCTTCTATTTATGTAATTATGTGCTCAATTCTTCCCTCTTGACTATTAGTCAGCATATGTAGGTAACGATGGAATCATAATATTTCCATGTTGATTCTGATAGTATACTTGTTATGGGCAGGAAGAGGTTAAGAAGATAAGCAGTTGGCAGTACATCAATTGCGTTGATCTCTGGGTTGCTTTTACATCGACAAACATACATAACTATGATTTCCAACCGTTGCTGTATATGATTGTGCAGATTATAAATGGATTTGCTCTCCTGTTTCCTGGGCCTAGATATTTACCATTGAGAATTCGATGCATTCAATGGCTTAATCATCTTTCCAGTTCTAGCGGGGTTTTCATCCCAGTTACATCACTGGTGCTGGATGTGTTGGAATACAAAATTAGTAAAGATGGTGGTAAACCTGGGAAAGTGTTTGAGCCTTTGTCTGCCATAAAGGTCAGGCATTAGAATGAAAGCTGTAAAGTAGATGTCTGTGTTGCTAGCCTAGATTAGCTGGAATGTGATTGTCTCCTAATATCACCTGGCTTGTAAACCCAGAATTTATATTTAGACTCATGCATGTTACTGCTATATTAAGCTTTAAATAATTTTTGCAGCTGCCGAAGCATTGGTTAAAATCACGGGAATTTCAAGAAGAGTGCTTCTTGTCTGCCATTGAGCTCCTTGCAGAACATTTTGCTCAATGGAGTTACGACATATCTTTTCCCGAGCTGGCAACCATTCCGCTTATTTACCTTAAAAAGTTCTATGAGCTAACTACTTTTGAGAACGTCAGACGTGTTCTGAAGCGATTTATTGATCAGGTACATGGCCTAATGAAACGTTTCTTTCTCTGTTCCCTAAGTACCTGCTATATGGAATTTCTACATGCAAATAAAACTCAGATGTTCAAAAGAATGTAGGAACCCCAAGACTAAAACCACCTAACTAAATTTGCTGAAATTCTCGTGCTAATCAACTTGATTATAGCCCCTGGGGTAAGCTCTCCAATGATAAGCATGCGTTAACATAGTTTGTTTCACTCATAGTTCTGCGGTATCAATCATTTGAAACTTGATGTTGCTCAAATAATTTTTTCTGTCCTGACTTGTTAATGTAGATGGTAGGCGATAATCAATGTGTTCCATTTGTTTGGTCCGCTTATTCTCATGTGCTTGGGTGGGGGTTGGGGCTGCAGGTGGAGTTGAACATTGAGTTTGTGCAGAGGAAGAGAGACGATGCGACTTTCTCACCAAAGGATCAGCAATCTGCTGAGTCATTTCTTCAGGTTCTCTCTCTCTCTCTCTCTCTCTCTCTCTCTCTGTCCCTCTTTTTCCTGGGTGAATTTATGTTTTGGTGGCTGATGTAACTTGATCTAATTCTACGTCTAATTATGCAGATTGAAAAACGAAGTGGCAACACTCCTTTTACACATTATTATAAGAGCATCCTGAACAAAGCCACTTCCAGAAAGTTGACTTCAAAACCAAAGGTGCCGTTTTACTTAATCACATCCTTCTCCAGCCAATACCGTATGATTGCCATTTCCAGCTGCTTGTGCATGACTAAAAGTTTATCATCCGTCTGCTCTTTAGGTTCCTTGTATTTAATGGAAGTACGGGCCGTAAAATTCCCAATGTTGGGCAATGGATTTAACTTTCTAGTAACCAATATGTCAGGGAAGGAGACACTGTTGGGGATAGTATGGGTTCAAACCCTATTTTAGTCCTCTTCAACCACATATGGATCGATTGTCAAAACTAAAATCGATTTTTAATAGGTTTTCATTCTCATTTGGTTCCAAAGTTCAAAATTATTCCGATTACAAAACATTACAAAACGTGTCGTTTTCTGAAGTTCATTAGCCAAGTTTTCGATTCACTTATGGAGGGATTCTATTGAATGGATTCTGAAGCATGAGGAACCAAAATGAGACTGAAAATCCGTTAGAGACCAATTCAAGAATTGATGCGTTTGTGAATGACCAAGATTCAAGTCAAGATGGTATGTTCTGCAATGTAATCCCCTTTTATTTTTAGCTCAGCCATGGTCCTTACTGCAGGGTCCCAGCAAACAAAGTGAAAAGAAAATGCGGCGTCAAAATGGCAAGCTGGATGTAACTATGACTGATGGGCCCCAGGAAATGGTACCCCTTTCGGTGGATGGAGTGAGGAATTGAAAGGGGAGAGGAAGAAAATTGTGTAAGATGAAGAATTATTGTAGCATTGATGTCACGATCAGAATCTGCTGACAGATGAAATGGATCTCGCTTTATTTTTCTACTTCCTGGACCTACAATGGGTTTTAGCAGCTTACACTACAATGGAAAGGCAAAGAGCAGACGCAATTTTGTTTTCTAGAGGATCCGGTCAATATTTTGTAACATGGCTTCTAGGTTTACGGTCGAGCGTGTTCTAAAAATGTTAAAAGAAATACTCAACAAAACTTCAAAATGAAGTTGAAATTTTGATAGGGCAGATAGCTGTCAAGTAGTATGGTATGGTTAATATCTCATTGTATTCCTGGACACTTTTGCTTGCATTTGTGTGTGTATTTCACACTGTCATGTCTTGTTGATGCGGAGTATGTACTAAATGAACATTGTTTGATTGGTTGTTTCGGAATTGTGATGACTCTGCTCGACTACAAAGAGTGTTTATATTTCAAAATGATTTTTGGTAGCTGAAGAGGAACATAATAAAAAACACCAATAAATTTTGATTGATTATTTGTAAAATTGGAAACGTTCGCGAAAAACTTGTATAATCTTGTTGGATGGATTTTTATTCTTTTAAATTATTTGTAAATACTACCGGCCTTAAATGTAAGAGCTAGTTGATTAATTTGAGTAGATTAAGAAAATAAGTTTAAGTTAATTATTTGTAATAAATAGAAATTATCTTTTTTTAAAATAATTCTTACTAAATTAAAACTATCATTATTAGAAAGATTATTTTGAAAAAAAAATTATATAAATATGATAGATAAAGTGAATTGGAGTTTTATATTTACGATCAAAATAAATGTTAAACAAGGTCTTATATTAAGAATCAGAAGTAGTAGTTAAAAAGACAAAAATATAAGGGTTAATATAAACTTTAGCCTTTCAAGTTTGCCTTTATTTTAGTTTTGGTTCCTCAAATTTCAAGCCATAGGTTTTAGTTCCTCAAATTTCTTTTCATTTAAAACATTAGTTTTTATAATCCAATAAAAATTTGGATCATTTTATCCTTTGAGAGAACAAAACCTTTGATTTGAAATTTGAGGAATTAAAATCAAAATGAAGACAAATTTAAGAGGTCAAAAATTATATTAATCCAAAATATAAATATGATCGCTATTTCTCTGGCTCTCTCTCTCTCTAAAATTTTCAAATTTCCATAGACCCGATAATCTTTTGAAGGGCTAACTGGGCTTGGGCAAGCTCTATACACAAGCCAGCAGGTGCTTGTATTCACATCATCGACATGAAGCTCCTCACGACGTCGTTTGCCTGGTTACTACTAGTATTGCCGCACCCCAAACCCAACGACCTCAAGATCTTGCCAAACGACCAGTTCCTCCTTCCCTTGCTGCTCTTATGCACCATCTCCTTCCCGCCCGCCGGCTCCGGAAGCGTCGTCGTCGCCGGAACATTCCTCCGTCTCTGCCTGTTCCTAATGTCGCTCAACTCCATCTCCGCCGGCAACCTTATGGACGGCATTCTAAACATGAACAAAAACCACCTTCCCTTGGTCGCTGACCTCATCAACGAAACCCTCCCTCTGGAATAATTATCCTTCGAATCCTTTAATTGTCGCACCTTATGTAAGGCGGAATCGCGAGATATGGCTGGTTTCGGAGTGTGTTGGTTTAGGATCCATGGAAGAAGAACGCTACTATCATTGTCGTTCTGGTTAGTATAATAGCTCTGTGTTGCGTCTTGCGGAGAACCTTTGCTGATGATTCTCCCGCAGAAGATAATGTCTCTTTCCACCGTCGACGCGGTGAAATCTTCACTAATGAACTCGAAGAAGTCGCCATCGTCGTCTTCTTTGGAATACGAATAATCCGATTGAGCTGAATCGCCTGTAATCGGAAGGTCAGAGAGGGAGAGAGTCTCTTCTGCTTCAAACGGATCTTCTGCTTCTTTATCGAAGCGAAATCCTCTGTCTCCCATCATCTATAACGAAGGAGCAAACCAAAAGGTATGTATATGCATATAGTTACGAATATAGGAAATCGATTCCAACAATCAGCTTATACTTGTGATTTTTCAAGTTTGATAAGAGAGCTATATAGTGTTCCAAATATATATAAGGATCTGTGAGCGGCGTTAGAGAGAGAAAGAGAGAGGGAGAGACGTTGAAGCAGGTGTGACGATATCTTCTAGATGAGGAGAATAAAGAATCGATCAATTAGCAGGTTTTAGTGTTTCAACTTTGAATGAACTACTACTGTTTACTCATCTAGAAGAGCAGGCGCGGAAAAGGTTAACGTTAGTGGGGACCAATTGTGAAGTACCATGTAGTGCCTGCACTTAAAAAAAAAAAAGTGTCTTCTAGATGAAGTAGCCAGAGAGCCACCCCCATTCTGATCACCTTCCCAGAATATGCTTTGCCCTTTTTTCCTGGATGTGTGTATTACTATTTAAAATGAATATTACAGTTCACATAGCTTTTAGGGGATTGCTACATTTTAATATGATTATACTACTTCCGGTCCTATTTATCAAAAATAGTTTACTAATTTGAGAAGATTAAGAAAAGAAGTTAAGTTAGTTATTTATAATAAATATGTGTTATTTTTTCTAAAATATCTTCGCTAATCAAGTGTATTGACTAAAATTATTATTGTTCGAAAGACTATCTTGGAAAAAATGCATAAATATGAGAGACAAAGTGGATTGGGGTCTTATATTTAAAATTAAAATAAAAGTCAAATAAGATTTTATATTTAAGACCAGAGGTAGTATATTTTAATTGTTCTTATAGCCCCAAGTTCTTGTAGGTTTTAATCACAATAAATTTCATGATCTTTCGAAGTTAAGTAATTACCTATTAGTGGGGTGCTCATTTATAGTGCAATCTAGACCATCCAGAATCCAATATAGATAATTCGGATTTAAAATTCTTAATATGCAATTTTTCAATGACAACTTTATTTTTAAACAAGTATTAATTATGAGATTATTTTTATTTTAAATTTTGTAAGTATTTTTACAAAAAATTAATTAAAATATATAATAAGTTTAAATTTAATCTGGACCATTCAAAATCAATTTGGATTATTCAAATTAAAATGAGTATGGAATGTGTTTCTCATAGTTATCGGCTTCCTCTACACAGTTCTCGGATCGTTTTCTTCTTCTCAAGCTTACTTTTGATCACCGCTGTTCTGAGATCTAATTAACTGAGAGTTTGATTGATAATTTTTTTGGCCTTTAAGTAATATTGAAAGGTTGCCAAAGTAACATACAATGATGTGGTAGAGTACGGGCTATTTTTATGTAGTTAAGTTCTAATTAACTACTTTATATTTTGGGGGATGGGTCAAATGATTATAGTTTTCAAATACAGTTTTTTATCGACCTTTTTAGCTTAATCACGATTTGTATTTATATTATTACTCAACCGTGTGTCGTTGATTCTATTTTTTAAAACATTGGTGAAATCCTTGATAGAGACATTTAACTTGTTTTTGTTTTTGTCCTTGACATTTGATGCTTGGTGAGGCCGGCTAATATTCGGCATATTAGACTATCCTACTTTTTTCTTATGATGATACACTTTTAGATACAAATAACCAAAAATATGAACACATGAATATGTAGTTAATAATAAATAGATATAAATTTCACAAATTAACCAAAAAAATGTTATAAAATATAATATGCTTCTCATTTTAGCTAACTTTGGGTACAAATTATTCATTGATCAAATATACCTTCCAAGTTTCTCTCTGCCTAATCTCTCTTCTTATGCCTGCATGGCAAAGACTTGGATTGTTTCTTCCACTTCTGGGGTTTTTGTTTAAGCTCAATTGCTACAGTAAATTTAGGATTAATATAACTTTTTATCTCTTGAAATTTTAAATTATAGAATTCGGCCCTTCAAATTTTTTTATTTAAAATATTAGTTCTTATAATTGAATAAAAACTTGTATCATTTTATTTATTAAGAAATTAAAACCTATGGTTTGAAACTCCAGATACTAAAATCAAAATTCGTACAAACATGAGGGACAAAAAATTATATAAATTCATAAGGTTAAAGTGCAATTTGCGGTAAACTCTATATATATATATATATATATATATATTGTATTTGGCCTTTTTCTGGTTGTCTTGTAGAGAATCCAGGGACAGTAGCGTAGCAGACTTCACTTCGGCCGAAACGACTAGTATTCATTTTACAAATTGACTGTTATTGAGCGTTACCTGATAATTTCTGGATTTTTTTTCTTTATTGTTAGTGTAATCGGCGCGAATATTTGTTCTGTATGAACTTCTACTGAGACGATCCATTAACTCAATTATAAAATTTTAAAAACTCATTGTTAAAATATTTTAATTCTGTATTTGAAAATATTTTTATTATTGAAGAAACGAAAGAAAAAGATAAAAATACCAGCAGCAATATCAAACTTCATATATGTGAACAGTCAAAAAAGCACGGTGCAAGAGAGACGGCGATAGCATAATGGAATCATATTCAAAGATCTACTTTTAGTTCATGTCGAATTACTGTTTGTTTTTGCCTGCTGGCTCCTCTGGTTTTGGAGGAATAATTCACTGCTTGATTTGGAATTTGATGATAAGAAAGCCAATGTGGAGGCCTTCTGGAATAATGCGAGCGAGGTAAAAGGTGCAAGCTCCTAGTGGTAGCTTATGAAAAAACGAGGAAACAAAAACGAATAATGGAAACAAAGCGAAAAGAACAGCACAATGAAACAAAAAGAATCCCAGCAAAACTTAACACTCGGAAACGAGAACTTCCCACATTTAGTCGCCTTGACTGCCAGGATCTTAAGTAAAAGAAGAAGGGGTTGTAATAATCAATCTTTGGAGCATTTTTTCCATCCAAGCTGCACAAACACAATAACTGCAGCTAAAATTTGATTTCTCGGAATCCATTCAAAGTCATAAAAGGTAGTTTTGCTAAAATTAACAAATTCCTCCATTAGGTTCAAACTATCTCACTCTCTGGGCAAGAAATTCTAAGAAAAATAGCTTGAAATCCTACAGAACAAAACCATACAGAGGAACACCTCAAAAACACTTTTTAAAAACGCTTTTTCGTAAATTGAGACAAACTCATCCATATATTTACCTCGTATACCGTAAAAGCACTTTTAAAACTATAATTTTGTTTATATCCAAACACCCCTTTAGTGTTTGTTTGCGATTATGATAGATATCTTTAAACTCACATACTTATTTCATATTTCATAAATCATGTTGAAAAGATATTTTTAAAGGATTTTGCTAACAGTCCAAACAACTTCAAAAATAATGTCGAAACTTCATCCCAAACTATTAAACTGGACATAATTTCTTTCAATGGCTTCTACTTTTCAATTTAACATTAATATATAAATGGCGTACTCATTTTGTTTTAGACATTTTATGTTAGATAAAATTTAATTTAATTATATATAGTAGCAAGAACAATAGAACTACTATTAAATTTAATTCTGTATTAGATAAAATTGAATAGTAGTTCTGTTGTTCTTTTTGCATCAATCTTTGATGCAAAGCTTTGGAAGTTTTGTGGCAAGTTAAGTGAATTTGCAGCAATAAGAAAAGAAATTCTGAAAATTAAGGATGATTTGTGATGGGTGCTGCCTAGATGGCTTTGGTGCTTGTTACTTCTTGACATTTTGGTTATGGTTGATGTTAGGACTGTTGGTTTTGGAATAAGAGGCATGGCTTTGAAGATAAGTTATTGGTTAATTAGAAATCTAGAAGACCAAAAGCTTCTGGCTTTTTACTTTGGAGATGTCCAGTTAAAATGTGGTTGGTGGAGCCATTTTCTTGGGAACATATTCCATCTGGAAAATGTTGCTCAGCCTTGTAACTTAGCTACTATGAAAGAATTAAGGAGTTGTCTAATGGGTTTGTGACCTTTATGGTTGGGTTTTATATCCTTCAATGGTAATTTCTTTTCTTTTGTTTTTGTATTTTCTCTAGATAGATTTTTGACTAGCGATTTTTTTTTTTGGCTGTCTTGGTAGAAATCCATAACTCCTTTTGGTATTGAAGGCTTGCTGTTCTACAATTTCGGTTTCTTTGTTGCTTTGGCACTGGAGGATTCCGGTTTTTTAGTTTCTGTTCTGTTGGTTTTTTAATGCTGTTTCGTTGTTTCTTTTATCTTGAAATTTTGAATTGTACTGGTTTATTTTTTTTAATATAGTACTATTTCAGACAAAAAATAATAATAACTAAGAATTATCACCGTACACAGATTCTTGTCGCCACACAATCACAAGAGGATAGCATTCACAACCAGGGCAGGGCCATGCCAAATAAGGGAAGTGTGGTGAAATGAATTTGTTTATTGAAGAAAACCTTGTACATTTGTTGGTAAAAATAAGAAGCATCTTTTTTTTAATGGTATATTAGCCTTTTTTCATAAATAAACATATAAATTTGGGGCCAAAAAAATGAAATAACATATAAATTTAAAATTAAAAAATCGTACAGTAAATATATTTAAAATAAAAATAAAATATAAAATCTGCATTTAAGTTCATCAAAGACAAAAAAACATCTTTTGATAAATCCCTGTTATTCTTTTTATCTGGGTTTTGGCTTTGACTTTTGGTCAGCTGCCACGTAGTAAGAGGATATATTTGTCAATACAATGTGAAAGGATGGGTTGTTTCGTAAACACGACAACTATATAATCTCCTTTCATTGGAAATGAGGGTTACTTCCTTGCGCTCTGCTTTACTCCCTTTTTCCATTGCGGCTAGGGTTTTAGCTCCTCACTGTCTTGCAGGTTCGTTTTCTCCATCGTTACACTTTCTTTGCCTGTGTCTGTCCTGCAATACCTCGCTTTAATGTTCGATCTTCTCATTGGTTGATTCTGCCTGCTATTCGTTCTTTTATATTTTTTAAATACATGATTTTTTGTATTATAAGCGATCGTTTGTCTCGGTCTCTTTTGCTTCTTTCTTGTGTTTCAGAAATTTTTATTTACGCCTTTGATGATGAATCGATTTATGCTATTTTGTCGTCGGGATATTCCTATTAATATGATTCCTTTAATCCTTTATGAAGTACAGATCTGGGAGTGGATTTAGTTTTTAATGATTTATGAGAATCGATCTCATGTAAAGGCAATTGGCGTTTTTCCTGGGTCTGTAAACGAGGTCATGTGTATGTGACAAGCAGATGTACATATTCTTACTTAACTGTTGTATCATATGTGATTGTTAGCTTTTCGATCGGATCAAGTTTGCTTGATCTGCCAGCATATTCAGCATCGTAAATGATTTTCATAAAATCCAGTTCTGTATACAAGATCGTAATCTTATGACATGTTCATCGACTGATATTAAAGTCATTTATTTGTGGATGCTCTCAACGTTACCGATGCTTCCTAGAGTGCAAATTTTAAACATTGATTGTTTTTCTTTGATGTTTTAATCCCGTGGTGTTCATCTTCTCTATGTTTTCATGTAGCAGTCCATTTTTGTCGGAAGTCTAGGCGCTATGGGTAAGGAGAAGAGTCACATCAACATTGTGGTCATTGGCCATGTCGACTCTGGCAAGTCAACCACCACCGGCCATCTTATCTACAAGCTTGGAGGTATTGACAAGCGTGTTATTGAGAGATTTGAGAAAGAAGCTGCCGAGATGAACAAGAGGTCCTTCAAGTATGCTTGGGTGCTGGACAAGCTCAAGGCTGAGCGTGAAAGAGGAATCACAATTGATATTGCCCTGTGGAAGTTCGAGACCACCAAGTACTACTGCACGGTCATTGATGCACCCGGACACAGGGATTTCATCAAGAACATGATTACTGGAACATCTCAGGCTGACTGTGCGGTTCTCATCATTGATTCAACGACTGGTGGTTTTGAAGCTGGTATCTCCAAGGATGGACAGACCCGTGAGCATGCCCTTCTTGCTTTCACCCTTGGTGTCAGGCAGATGATTTGCTGCTGCAACAAGGTATTTAACTGAGGTTGCTTGGTGTATTTAACATCTCTCTAGATAATCGCATTGAGTGCAGCTTCCTAATGTGGTTTTTCTGTATTTTGTTCTGCAACAGATGGATGCCACCACCCCCAAGTACTCTAAGGCCAGGTACGATGAAATCGTGAAGGAAGTGTCATCCTACTTGAAGAAGGTCGGTTACAACCCAGACAAGATCCCCTTTGTTCCCATCTCTGGTTTTGAGGGAGACAACATGATCGAGAGGTCCACCAACCTCGACTGGTACAAGGGACCAACCCTGCTTGAGGCCCTTGACCAGATCCAGGAGCCCAAGAGGCCCTCAGACAAGCCGCTGAGGCTGCCCCTTCAGGATGTGTACAAGATTGGTGGAATTGGAACTGTTCCAGTGGGACGTGTTGAGACTGGTGTTCTGAAGCCCGGTATGGTGGTTACTTTCGGTCCCAGCGGGCTGACAACTGAAGTTAAGTCTGTGGAGATGCACCACGAGGCCCTCCAAGAGGCTCTTCCAGGTGACAATGTGGGATTCAACGTGAAGAACGTTGCTGTGAAGGATCTGAAGCGTGGTTATGTTGCCTCAAACTCAAAGGATGATCCGGCCAAGGGAGCTGCCAGCTTCACATCTCAGGTCATTATCATGAACCATCCTGGACAGATCAGTGGTGGTTACGCCCCCGTGCTTGACTGCCACACCTCCCACATTGCGGTGAAGTTTGCTGAGCTGCTGACCAAGATTGACAGGCGATCTGGTAAGGAGCTTGAGAAGGAACCCAAGTTCTTGAAGAACGGTGATGCCGGTATTGTTAAGATGATTCCAACCAAGCCTATGGTTGTTGAGACCTTCTCTGAGTATCCTCCACTTGGTCGTTTTGCTGTGAGGGACATGCGTCAAACGGTGGCTGTGGGAGTCATCAAGAACGTGGATAAGAAGGAAGCCACCGGCGCCAAGGTGACCAAGGCTGCCCAGAAGAAGAAGTGAATCGTGCGGGCTGGTTTATATCCATTGGTGCTGACCATTATGGCACCAATAAATGTTTTTCTATTTGTATTTTGCGTCTCCAGATTCTGTCTTAGGTTTATTGTTTACCGTGTCAATTTGTTGCCTTGGTCAAGCATCTTGTGTTGTCAGAACTGGGTGCTTGATAGAAGGTGGCAAGGTTTTCTGGTACTTTTGTTTACTTCGTGTAGCTGAGAGTTTCAAAGAGTTTCAGTTTTGAAAGCTGCGGTATGGTATAGGACTATTCTTCCACACTGCCGATTGGATATCAAGTGCTAGCTCGTAATATGTTCAAATTTTGTTGTTATTAATCCTTAACTTCTATGCTCGCCTTTTGTGATTCCTGTCTTTAATGTTTGTAATACAATGCATTTTTGGTATGTTGATACTTGGTAGTTATATGGTTCAGTTTGTTGCCCCTTGTTTAATTGCTTTGTCAAAATTTATTGATAGTTGACATTACTCCCTATGGTTTTGTGTATCGGACTTGTTTCGTCCCTATATTCCTCTTGTTCCATTAGTAACGGATGTTTTATGAGTGGCATTTTCAACTCTATTCATGTGATCCATGAGGTTGTGTTTTAGTTTCTTTTCGAGTGGATGCCAAGTTGCTTGAAGGTTTTGCCTTTTATTGAGAGTCAAGTTTTGAAGGCTAACGATTATTCTGATTCGATGGGGTACCCAATTTCCTTGGAAGGGAGGTATTCCCGCTGGAATTACCTCTCCCCAATGCTACCTCAAAGATTGAGGAATTCATCAAGGATTTGATCATTTCATTTGACTGCATTAATTCTCGTACATGATAACCTGATAGTCTTACTCATTAAAGACGTTAGGACTGCTCGGGTGCGTGATTCCTTAATAATGACCAACATTCAGATGCTGAGACTTTCTGCCTATTATGCTGATGGTCTTATTTCTTTTTCGTTACTTCTCATGTTTTTTGTATATTATTTATGTAAAATTTACTTTACAAGTTTATTATTTTTTTTTTTTGCATTAATTTATTGATATGCTTTCAGTAATAATCAAGTAGTCAGGTAAAAAAAAAACAATAATGGAAATGGAGGAAAAGAATTAAGAAAGATATTTATGTGTCCTAAAAATATATATATCATATCAATTAATTTAATTAATATTTTTAATCTATTTAAATTAGTTAATAAAGTTTTATATTAAGTATAAAATTTTTGGGTTGTTAGGGTGCAATTTCTTGCACCGCTACGTCTCCAACCCTCCCTAGCATAGAAGAAAATACGCCACATGTTTATAGAGGTGCGCAGCCTACTTAGTGGGGAACCATCAACTTCTTCTCTCTCTTTTGTTTTTTTTTTGTTTGTTTTAGAGCCATCAACTTCTTCTTCTTTTGGCCGAGAAAAAAAAAACAACTTCTTCTTCTCCGTCTTTTATATTTTTGAGAGAGATTAGCTAGTTCATGAAGTTAAACATAAAGAAAATGTCAGACTTATCTTTAACAAGTATGATGGAAAAATACTTTAATAGCGGAAATAAAAGACTAAACGTCAAACATAATACTATCTCAAATTTTTAATATAAAATCTAGTTGACTAATTTGAATATATTAAGAAGATTAGTTAAGTTAGTTATTTGTAATAAATAAGCATTGTGATTCTTAAAATATTTTTGCTAATCAAGTGTATTGGTTAGAATTATCATTATTACAAAGACTGTCTTAGAAAAAATAAATAAATATGAGAGACAAAATGGATTGAGATTTTATATTTAAAACCAAAATAAAAGTAAACGAGTTTTTTATTAAGAAACGGAGGTAATAATTTGAAAAAAAGCTTGATTACAAATAATTTGGTCAATCCACTATGATTCTATTTCTTTTATATTTTAATTCCATCAAACACAATACTACCTCTTATTTTTAATATAAGGGTTTATTTGATTTTTATTTTAGTTCTAAATATAATTCTTAATTTACTTTATCTCTTATATTTATCTTTTTTTTAAATAGTTCTTATAATAATAGTAGTTTTAGTTAATATACAGTAAGGATATTTAGAAAAGATAACAACTTAATCTACTCAAATTAGTCAATTAATTCTTATATTAAGGATAAGAGGAAGCATTCGTATAATACAAATAATCAAATCTTACTGAAAACATACTACCTTGTGAGGAATATCGTTTGATTCTCACTGTTATTCGCATTCCATTTTCTGTTCATTTATTAACTATTTTGCCATACGAGGTATAAACCCGCAATACTTATCAAAAAAAAAAAACCCGCAATCCCTCTACTAATAAAATCACGTGGCTTTTGTACCAAAATAAAACTACGTTGCTTTACATTCATAATCTCATTTCTTTTTTTTTGTGTGTGAGCATTTGCATTGGATTTAAATCCCTAAATTGAGACTTCCTCAATTAAACATCAATTAGAGATATTCAAATCATGATGTAATAATGTTATAGAGAAAGTTGCCAATTTATTTTTGAAGAAAAATTAATTTAGAGGACTTTCATAGCTTTCTTTAATTTTCAATCACGTTCTTGGATTTTTTTTTTTAATCAAATCATAATTTTTTTTTGGTGAAAAAAATCCCTCTTTGTTTTGCTCGAGCCTCGAGGCATTATGTTTGGTCATGAAGCAGAGGCATTAGGGTGAGCTCTTCACCATGGAGGAGATAGGGTTGTTGATTCGCCGTCGTCTGTGGTGGTGGAAGGTCGCCGGTCTGAGATCATGGAGCAGAGACAGACATGCAAGGGACTGTAATTTTCAAACTCGAATTTTTCCCCTCGTTTTTCTCCTCAATCTTTCTATCAGCATCCTGTGTGTTCAGAGGAAGTCCTTCTCGGCGCTCAACACTGGGCTTTGGACGTTGATCGGGAAGGATCTGAAAGTGGATTCGACTCCTACAGAATTGAGCTTGGATAGGAGACAAATTAGTCGATCTTGTTCCGCTGTAAATAGCTTCACCAAGCATGACGTCCTCTAATGATGTTGAACGGACGATGAAGATTACTAAATTTGTGATTCGGCGAGAGAACGGAAGCAGAGGAGACAGGAACAGAGTCGACAATAAAGCTCAACTGACCTGCTTTACTTGAGGGCGACGATGATCTCGCCGGAGCTGCTCCCCAGTCGCCGGTGAAGCTCAAAGGAACAGAGAAGACGATGAGTGAACCGTAGTCCCTAACGTCCCCATAGCAGAAGAATCCAATTTATCAAAATCGTCTGCCTGCCTGCCGTCTCAGGGTATGTTTGGATTGGCGTTGGACAAAACTGATTTATAGTCTAACTGACTTTTGTAACTGAAGTTGGAGTAAAAGTCAGTTAGTGTAATATGATTTATGTTTGGATAGGTGCTTATAAAAAGTCAGTTGAAAAAGTTAAAAGTTGTTTGGATGATTAATAGAAAAGTTAGTTTGGTTGTAAATGACTGAAAATGACATAAACTTTATTGAACAATAGTGTTTGAAATTATATGTTTTTAATGTGATAATAGTTTAAAAAATACATAAAATTATTATGGTAAAATATAAATAGTTTATTTTTGAGATTATAAAATAAAAATATTTGTTACGGAGAAAAATTTGAAAACACCTTGTAGATAATTAATTAAATATACATAATGGATAAACAAGAATATAAATTAAAATTTATTTGGTCTCTAATTAAAGTAAATGAAATCACATGACTAATTAGATCGTAAGCTTTGTACAATTTTCCTATAAGTCAGTTAGAAAAGTTGATTCAGATTGCGTTGGATAAGTCAGTTAGAAAAGTTACTTTTTCCCATAAGTCAGTTAGAAAAGCAGTCCCATCCAAACAATCTTCTGAGCCACAATAAGCCACTAACCTCAGTTTCACACTTTCCCATATGCTTTTGGCTTTTTCCAACAGAGCAAATTTACAGGTGGTTATGAAAAAGAAACAAATGTTAGGAATTTAATTAAAAATTAGAAAAAATAGAAAAATTTCTTGGTTATTTGTTCTGCATTTTTTTGAAAAAGTAAACAAAGATCTTTCTCTTGATGTTACTGGATCATGATCCAAATGTTAGTACTATATTCACTACTTAATAAAACACAATTAATTAATGAGTAATTGCTATCTCATATCCTAAATAATAAAGTCTAGTTTATAGTGCAAATTAAGGCAAAAAAAAACTTTGTAGTGCAAATTCTACTGGAAATTACTCCTCTAGTCCTGTTTATAGGATAGAGAGAGAAGATTTTTTTTAGTTCTATTTATAAGTCACTTTATTAAATTTTTAATGTGAATGTACTATTTTGTCCTTCATTTATTATGGTATATGTAGTTATCTCTTTTGAAATGGTATATATTAAATATGGTTAAAATTAAAAAATTGTTATATTTTAATAGAGAATTAATGTATTTTAAGGTTTTCTTTAATCTGTGTAAAATATGGTGAAAGTGGCTTATAAATAGGACTAGAGGAGTAGATTTTATATTAGGATTGAAAATAATATTTAATTATAGTATATATTACATGATTTCTCTGAAATACACATAATTAAATTATCTTCCATTCAGTCCTAATTCTTAACTATAAGTCTCTCGACTCTTGTATACTTTGTCTTACTTGTTTATTTATTTTTAAGTAATCCAATGTTAATTGCACAGATTAAAAATTTTATAAAAAAATAATTCCAGTATACATAACTGACAAAACATTTAAACAACAAAACATATATTTATTATAAATAATTAATTTTATTAATATTTATAAATTAGTTATCTAGCTTTTATATTAAGAATTAAAATTAATATATCAATTTATAAATTAAGCCAATTAGTTTAAAAAATAATAAATATAAATATTTTAAATTAATTTATTTATTTTTTTAATCTCTTCAAATTGATTAATTAGATTTAATCTTAAAGACAGCTGGAGCTCAAATAAAGGAACATAATTGAAGAGATGAGTATATTTGTGCGTGAAAATCTTTTGGTGAATAAAAAAAATTCAGATTAATATATCTCAGGCGGAGCTCAAGTAAAGGAGTATATTTTAAGAGATGCAAATCTATTTGTGTGTTAAAAAATTAATTTTCTATTATAAATAAATGAAGGGGGATTTTTTAGACTTTTTATATTAGATTAAAAATTTATCATCATAAGATGATTTCTTTCCCACCTAGAATTCGACTCCATCATTCCGCACAACCAAGGAATCGAAGGGAAATTTATGAGAAAATTGTATTAAGGTCTGACACAACAAAATTAAATATAAAAAATTAATCTTAAAATTACAAAATCAGTGGGAAAGCCCTGACTGTCAAAAATTTCACTTGTTTCATTATTAAATTCTACTTATCTATTTTTCAAATATATATTGACAATTAAAAGTTGTTAATAGTTTAAGATGCAATGATTAAGAAT